AAAAAAAAAAAAAAAAAGTACAGTATACATACAATAAGATCACAAATATGGTATGGTATGTAACTGCTTTTCTCACTCTACCTTAAGCTACACACCTGTCTTGCAGTATTAGTTTCCTTATTAAAAACACAAACAGATTCTGAAACACAAATATTCTTCACAGTTGTTAGTGGATTCCTTTTATAGGAATCCTTCTAGAAAATTTCTAAAAGAGCAAACATTCCTGCATGACTTACCTTTACTGTTGTGGTCCCTTTCAGACTGACAGCAGTATCACCTATGGTGCACGGTGTGGGATAATATGGGTGGCTCCCATGTAAATAAGATGGGATATCACCTCCAAGTCCTCTGGTTTCCTCCCACAGCCTAAAGAAATGCAAGCTTCATTGGCGACTGTAAATTGCCCCTAGGTGTGAATGGTTGTCCATCTCTATGGGGACCCTGCTCAATGTGGAAGATCTCATGCAAATGAGAGACATCATTATGCAAGGAACACAACAGCAGTTAGTGTGACCAAATTTCAGAGTATCTGTGTATTTTTGCAGCAGTAGACTAGTTCTGCCAAGACAGCTATATTAATATCAAATCTGCCTTTGAACCAACAGAACTACAGCCGGAACGCCAAACTGAAGCGGTTTTACAAGGTCCTGTCTACTAACAATGATGGGAAGAAGGAATTCATCTCCACCATGGAAGGTACCATTCGTCACTGACTACTTTGCGTCATACATGTTGTTCACTATACAGTTGTCATAAACAGAAAAAGAAAGAAAACCTCAGGAAGAGAGAGGAGGAATCCCTCTCCCAGGACAGACAGACAATAAATGTCGAGTGAGGAAAAGTCACACTTTATACACATTATACACATTATACACATTATACACTTTATACACTTTATACACATTATACACTTTATACACTTTATACACTTTATACACTTTATACACATTATACACTTTATACACTTTATACACTTTAAGCACTTTATGCACTTTATACACTTTATACACATTATACCATTTTTACACTTTATTCACATTATACAGGAGGATGTTGAAACAACAGTTATCACTGATTAAGGCATATGACCTCATGTCCACCATGGAGATCTGGAAGAGGACAGACGCCAGAATGTATCAGCAAAAAATCAAATCAAACTAAACTAAATATTTACAGATTTTTACAGCTTGTTACATAAGTAGTCAGGCGTGGTGGCCAAGTGGTAAGGCGTTGGTCTCGTAAACCAAAGATCATGGGTTCGACCCCCATCCATGCCTTGAGATAGAAATGGACCGAAGAGTTACAGAATGTCATAAACAGAAAAAGAAAAAAAAACCTTATGCAAGTAACAGAGGGGGAATCGCTCTTCACATTACATGTAAAGACTGTGGATCCAGGTGGATGTGGAAACAACTTCAGATATCACAGATTAAGGCATATGGTGTTATGTCCACCATGGAGATCTGGAAGCGAGCAGACTACATAATTTATCAGCAAAAAATCAAATCACACAACAAAAACATATTTATATTAGAACTACTGCACATTCAACATTTCCAGCATTCACTACTGTCCACCAGATGGCACCATCGGCCAATAACTGAACTGGTGTTTTTGATCATAATAATGAGTCATGTTGATCATTCAGATTCAGATGACATTTAAAAGTGTAGAGATGATGAGTGAGGGGAAATGATGATGGTAATGATCGTGACAGTCCTATCTGAAAATTAGAATTTTCGTCAGGATGCTGATGAATGATTGTTTCATTACAGCAGCAAGATTTCTTTCTTCACTGAGCTAGTGAAGAAGGTAGTCAGGTGTGGTGGCCAAGTGGTAAGGCGTTGTCTCGTAAACCAAAAGATCAATGGGTTCGACCCCCATCCATGCCTTGAGACAGAAACAGCTGTTGAACGCTACCTGTTCATGATCCTTGCAAGGCACACAGCTTTTTGGTTCTGTTTAGAAATTAGATCAAATCTAAAGATGTTGACATGAGTGAGTTCTTTCTCCGCCTTTCAGCCTACCGCTACCCATTTTATGCAGTGCAGTGGCATCCAGAGAAAAGCCCCTTTGAGTGGATAGATAAGCCGGGCATGGTTCACTCCACCTCTGCTATAAGAGCCTGCTTCTACACTGCCAGCTTCTTTGTCTCTGAAGGTAACCTGATTTCTTAGTTTAAGACAGTTAATTGGAATGTTTTCTGGCGAACATTTTTTCAACTCCTCCTACAAATTTCATTCAATAATCAATTTAGTAGCTGTTCTGGAGTTTCCAATCTTATCAATCACATGATCTTTATCAGCAGATGGAGTTTGGAGTTCTCATGTAAATGTAAATGACTTAAACTTAAAATGAATTAACTGAGTAACTGATTATGCCATTTGCCTTGTGACTGGTTACCAAATTCTAGCAGATTTGGTCAATTAGATCTAAAATGCCATAACGCTTGTGTTGTGGAAGTGCAACTGAATTTAACTTGAACACATGCACAAATCAAATAAAAGTAGTCAACACAAATGTAAGACAAATGCATGGAGCCCATTTAATACTTGAAGTTTGTGTGTGTGTGTGTGTGTGTGTTATGAATGAAAGAAAAGCTGCAGGTCTGCATGGCTGAAGCTTCACCACTACACTCTGTATGACTATTCCTTTTTTTCCTCCAGCCATGAAGAACCAGCACCACTTCTCTAGTCCCGTTGAGGAGGAGGGAGCTCTCATCTACAACTTCTATCCTGTCTACAGAGGCATCCACGCCGTCTTTGTGCAGAACTATTACTTTGATTGATGGACATTACTGAAGATTGAATCAGGCTCAGTCTAGTCAGAATTTGGCACTGGCAGAACATCTTGGCCCACGATAAAAACCAAATTTGATGGTGTTGTCACTTACACTAGCCTCAAACGTCAAGTCAATAATTTAGGGATGCACCGATTGTGAAATACAGATGTTTAAAATAACAATTTGGCTGATGCTGATGTTTTTTTGTTTTTTATTTGCCCTTTTTTTGCCAGGGAAGCAAATCAATTTATATATCCGAGTTGTAAATAACCAATACAACATTTAGCCAACACTAAATTGATGGAACACAACAGATAAACATCAACCACTGATATCGGTCAATACCACCTAATTTGCCGACGTCAGTAAACAAGGCGAATATTGGTCGATACAGAATTCCGACCGATGTAGCGGTGCATCCCTACAACAATTAGCTGTATAGCTGATTTGCTCAGTAAAATGAAATGCAAACAGGACAATGAAAAAATAGAAGATTAAGAAAATAAAAGAAAATATTATATTAAAAAATCTTTGCAGGATTTTTAAGTATAATAACAGAAAAAAATTTAACTAATTGCAATTACTAGGATGTATAAATTTGAAAACAAGACCAAATTTAAACACATTTAGTAAATATAACACAATTATGGGTAGCTAAAATCCAGAGTAACAGTGACAACTTCCTACAGTAAACTGTACGACGCCCATCAATAAACTGCCACACACTTAATGTTATTCCTATGTTCTTAAAACGGTCTTTAGTTCACATCTCTTTGTAGTGCTGCGATTTTGCCATGACAGCAGTAACAGTGTGGGTTCTATGTTCTACCTGCAGAATTGTATATGCTCAATTATGGCAAACTAAATTAAATTAAACAAAACATAAAAACACTGATAAACATATGGGAAGAAGAATGAGATCGAAATTCCAATTTTCGGGATATCCCTTTCATTGCAGCTGTGTCTAAGATACCCATAGCTTTACTACTGAATACCATTTACAATAATATGCACATCAAAAATAGCTGATATCCAGATGCTATTAAATTGCTTTACTGGAGACCTTTGCTGGTGTTTGCTGCTATTAAATCACATTTGTAACCTAAAATAAATCATATGAGGATTAACAGACTGAGTGATCAGTGGCAGAGTTTTGCAGGACCACTTAAGTTGCCTTACATAGGCCAAGTTTGTGTTCCCAGACTATTCAATTCAATTCAATTTAATTTGTATAGTGCCAAATCATAGACTACAGGACCAAGGCTTTACAAAATCACTGCCATTTCTCTTTTGTGTTTTAGTTCCTACTCCATCGCTTAGGTATGAGGATGTGTTGATTCTGACCAGGGTATATGAACGGTACTAAAAAAAAACTTAATTTATTTCAACATCTTTACATTACAGTTATTGATCTCACAAGGAAACAAATACATTGTTTCATTGCTATGCATCCTGCAAACAGTTGTTTTAAAAAAAAAAGTATTAAAAATAAGTTGCTTCTTTCTTTTACTCACTTACAAAACAAACACATGCCAGAGCAAGATCTCATGGGAAATGCAGTCCTAATTCTGGAAAACAATACCGCGTTTGTCCACAGGGGGCACCAATATCAACACAAAATAAAAGATCCTTGTAATTACGTAAAGTATAACCAGTCACCTAATTTTACAAGCCTAACTCCCATAGCCTATGAGTCCACGCTTAAATGTGGGTAACTAATAAACACTGACTATTCCCACTCTATCAGCAAGAGGCTACTGAAGGTCAGTTAGACTGACAAACTGCTGTTTCAGTATCAGTATAAAGTAATTAATGTGGTTCTTTAACATTCCTTCTGTAAAAATGGAAACATATATTTTGCTACCTGTATTCCTTCTTTTTTTATGTATTGGCTTTATTCTGCAGGACTGCAAAACTTGTTTATTCCTCAATATCTGGTACAGCAATCAGTGTGTATGCCTGTCAAGGAGAAATTTCATTACCAACTTAAATCTTTATTCTAGGAAATGGAGTATTTTGTATGCTAACATGCTATCAGAGAATGCCAAATATGACTAAAGATCAGGTTACAATTACATTGATTTTTTTTTCAGTTTTACAGTTGGCAGATGACATGATGATTGAGTTTGTACAAAACTTTCACTTTCACCTGAAAACCTTCTAGGTATGAGGTCTCCTTTGACATAACAATGTTCCATGTCATGGAAAAAGTGGATTTTATGGATCTGTTCATGATTGTCGGATTTTAAAATGTAACCTTGGATGTTTAATGGTGTTATATCATTGTGTGAGGATGTGTTTATACATTTATTTTATTTCCTTCATCAGTCAACATTATAAAATGAGTATACCAAACCAATATTTTTTTCCCTTTTTTTTGCAGTCTGGTTTAAAATGTTTGTTACCTATATTGTAACCCCGCACAGTGCAACATTATGTTGCATTTATTACATTATTCTTGCAGCAACAGAAACACACAGTCCTCTATTGCCAAAGTGAAAATACATTTCCTTTTTTATTGTGTAATGACAACAACCAAAAATAATGAGTCGTTTAAACTATGTGTCTAAGTCCTACTTTGGAACATTCTATATTTAATTCAATGCGATGGCTTTGAATACATGCATTGATTGCACAACTGATTGTAAAAGTTTTGCTTGTTTGTTTGACCATGTGCCAGATGATCAGACAATAAAGAAAGCCAATTAAACCTCAATGCATTCAACATAATGTATTCCCTTTTCAAAAGAAGAAAAATGCTTCCAAACACCTTCCTTTATGACTGAGTGATTGACAGATAAGGTTTTGGAATTACTACAACTCATTCGGCATGAAGTCTTTATCCTGCTACAAAAACAAATGTTTTGTTCAAAATGTCCATAAATTTTTTTTAAAAAAAGGTAAAAAAAATACCAAAATACACATTTTGTGTGATTTAATAATATTATTATATTTGTAATATTCTGCAGGATTGTGGCCTGACCAAAAAAATGGGTTGCAGAGTAAAACCTAGCAGCTCCACAGATCTGGAACATGGAGTGCTGTGTTAATATACATTGTGGATGTTAAAAAACAAACAAAAAAACCTTTAAACAGCACTGGAGCTTAGGATATTAACGCCCTTGAAAATGTGATTTTAAATCTTAAGTATCGTATCTATTACATAAAATATTCACTATTCAAACTAAATGTGCAAAATGTAAGTTTGTAAAAGAAAAAAACACACCCTTATGTGTTATTTAGTGAGTGAGTTTAACACAAACCTTTCAGGGTCTTTAAATACGGTTGATTAAGTGGTTGGTTGTGTTAGTATTAAAAGTAATGTCAATCAGTTTTGGAGTGACAGCATGTCCCACTCCTGTGTCTGGATTTGTCACACATGCAAAAAAAAGTTTCCACTAGATGGCATCATGATACCACTGAATGGCATGTTGACAGCCATACGCAATAACCATGGAGAGACTGTTATGTGTGCAGACTTGATATCCAGGATTTTAAATGTGTAAAATTTCAAAACCCAAAACCTAAAGTTATACAGTACTATTTTTATCATGTAGTTACTTTTATTTAGTATCCTCCAGTTTCAGTACATGTTCTTAAGTCTCTTTCAATATGCTCAACCTTTATTCCATCCTGACATCCTGAGTAAATTATGTAAGCTAGTGAAAAAAAATAGTACAAATTGAAAAAATAAGTCCATTACAACAATGTAAACTCCATTTGCTGAGGAAGCCTTTGTGACACAATTGAAAGCTACAAAACCGCCACTAAATAGACCTTTGTTCTGTCAATTCTGTTTTCAAGTTCAAGTAAAAACTTTCAATCTCTAGTACAAAGTCCTAGAAAAGGCTCAGAAATTTTTACATCTACAATTCTATGACAACTCCAGTGGCTGGCAAGGATAACTGCATGAAGAAAAGCTCCTGAACAGCTACTAAACTGACCTTGTGGTGAGATTGCTTTGTCAACCAATGAATGAGTATTGATGCTTTAGCAAAATCTTCTTCAGCAAAAAAATATCTCCATGTTGTCAGAGGCGGGCCTTTTTGCCATGTGCTCCAGTTTCCCCTGCCATCAAAAACATGTAGGCCTATGTTAGGTTAATTCTTCTGTCAGTGCCCTTGACCAAGGCAGTGGCTTAGAACTGGAGTAGGTCCCTGGGTGCTGCACAGTGGCTGTCCACTGCCGCTAACACAGGGTAAAATGCAGAGAACAAAGTTCCTTACAGGGATCAATTATCAAGGATAACTTCATTTAGCAGTGTGTAACATTTAGGAGGATCTATTGGCAGAAATGGAATACAATATTCATAGACATGTTTTCATCAGTGTATAATCAGCTGAAAATTTTGTGTTGTGTTTTCGTTACCTTAGAATGAGCCGATTTTATCTACAGAGGGAGTAAGCCCTCAATGTTGAACTGCCATGTTTGTACAGGCAGCCGACAACAATGTTATTTACTGGAGAGTACCAATCCGCCAAATCCCTAATGTAAGATCCTCAGCTTTATCTACATGTCGAAATATTTGTTTGCCTGACCGGAGCCTATACAGAACACTGTGTGTACTGTGATAACGTTACCTTCTAACAGTGCTTAGCTTTGCCATTCAGCACTATTAAGCTAACGTTAGACGCTCTTCATGTCCACAAAATTTAATCTACATCCCATAGTCTGAGGTTCCTATTGATTCCCTACACTACCAAGGAATAGTGAATGCAAAACTTCAAATTGCTGTAGGTGGGAATTGGTAGTGATTGTGTGTGTTACATTCTGCTGACCTGGAAAAGCAATGCTGAAACTTTTTTTACTGAGATATGGACAGCATATCAAATATTTATTCAGGCATAAACTGTTCTTCGGTCACCACTGTTTATACATTATACATAACACCCAAGGCTACTGATCCTTAGTAGTGTGTGCATTTGTGAGCATCAAGTGTGTGTGTGTGTGTGTGTGATTGCTTGGTGCTCCGGTTTGTGACTGTAGATATAAGGACTAGTCTAGACAACAGATCAGCTGTATGCTCACAGCCGGCAGCTTTGTATCAAGACATACACACACACTTCAACTTGTTTCATGACTTTGTTAGGTTGTCTTGGGATCATTTTCTTTTATCTGATGTACTGAAGCTTCAAGGATCTTCAGAAAAAAATAAGTAGTTTCTTCGCAACATGTCTTGAGCAGAGAGTTGGAGAAAGAGGAAAGTGGAGTGGATTGGAGAAGGGTAGAGATGGAGGAGAGAGAAAGGGTTGCAAGGAAGGACGGAAAGGAGAGGGAGGAGTGAAAATAGCTGTCAAGACAAAGAGAAGGCTGGTAGAGAGAATGAATGAGGCGAGAGGGAATTAGGCACCTAGCCAGCATGTCGGTGTGGGATACACATGAGTTTGATGGGCCATATTTGGTCACTGGCTCCATACAGGCCTGATGTGTGTCTGCCCATGTGCAGGTTAATGGGGACAAGCTGAGTTACAAGTGGGGCCTGTGTGAGCAATGATCCTTAGGCTCCACATGGGCCCCTGCTTGTGTTTAGTATGTGGGCTAATTGATTGTGGGAAGGCAGATAGCATGTGGGTCAAAAATGTCCCACGTGTTACATCCGTTATACATATGTATAGTAAACTTAAATGATGAGTTAAATATTTAAATCATTGTTGGTCACTTCTGCATCTTTCAGCTGCATGCACCTTTTGCACAACCAGATGCAAGGTGTTGAAGAAAGTTCCACGAGTGCTCTGATCCGATTTTCATTTTTGTATTTGATCTTATTTTCTATATTCTAAAGTAATTGCTGTACACAGACAACATATGAATACAAGCACAAGATTGAGCAAAGAACCCAACAAACAATTAGCTCCAGCACATTGTCGACACATCCGACACATCCTTCTAGGCCCCGTGTTTCTGCACCTGCCCACTAGATGTCCTCAATGTTGCTTTACCTGCACGGTGACCACCAGGTTGACTTTGTAATAAGCCACATGGTTGTCCCTGTTTAACTCATTAACATATATAGATGGCAACTTGCTTCTGACTCATTTTCCATTTTGTCTTAGATTTTTTTTTTGTCCCAATAGATTAGCGTATGTCATGTCCTGTGGCGGTGTGTGAGTGCGAGGACCCTAAAGCGTCTTGTATACTCGCCGTTCCCGACCTGTCGTGCGACAATGTGACGTCAAAATGACGTAGATCTCGCTGCCGCACCAGGATTTTAGGCCAGGTCTTGCCCGCTCGTGCACCACTCTTTTTTTTTCA